CCTCTTTGCTTTCCTCCCTCTCAACGAGCGTACATCGAAACGGATGAGGCTCGACAGGAACAGAATAACATCGAATGCCATTGCATTCAATCGAAGACAATATAAGAGGTAATGATAAAATCAAAAGCATACACCTGAAAGTGGTTTAATATATCTACATTTTTACAATGACAACCTTACAACTACGGACATTTTGAATTATTTTTAAGCGAAACGTGTGAATTCGTGAATATCATAGAGTCAGAATATTGATAAACCAGTCCTGTCACCTAGCAGGGCCAACTGTAACGTACTGACGAGCTTTAGCAAAATCAAAACATCGCGGTACGCGGCTGGTAATAATACAACATGGATTTTATCGCGCAAACCAAAAACTACCCCTATTCAACGAAGACGAATTCGGGACACCCCTGTGAAAGAGGGTGAACTCCGACCGTCACCACATCATGTCGTGGAGGTCCCCGTTCCGTTTTTCCTTTGTTTTGTACGGTTTCCGACAATCTAAATAATTAGTGGGATCGCAGTGGCGCTGAAAGCGAAAGACAGTTTACTCTCTGGGAGGCTTTTTTGCCTGCTGTATACATAAGGTACTCTTCTGGCAAACACACATACAAAGAAAAGAAAGTCGTCCGTGAAAGGGGGTTGGTGACTGATGCTCTCTCAGAGGGATATTTAGGACGCCTGATATGGATCTCTAAGCTGTCGGTGGAGACAAGTGGTGAAGAGCTGGGAACGTGCATTTGTCAGCTTCACGTTCGTGAAGTGTATCGGAAACAATGATGTTGTCAAACTGTAAACGAAGGGTACGAAGAACTGGTAATACGAAACTTCAACAGTTGTTTACTTGGGTGGTGTTATAACAACTTCGACTTCTCTCACTCTAGGGGTCTCAAATTTTGCATATGGACTACAAGGAATGAGAGGTAAGCGACAGTATTAGCGCCGTAGAATTCAATGCTTAGAAAAAACCCGGCTACTTATGAGGGAAAGGTAGTCCTGGAGAAACAGCTTCATATAAAGAACCCTTCAAAACTTTACAATTTTTGTTTCAGTTACAATTAGAGACATCAAAATTGATCTCTGCATGAACCTCCTCACGCTAGGGTATGATTTGTGAGTACCTAACGCGGAAATAGTTATTCTCCAATTTTGAGATCCATGTTTTACTTGTCCTCAGGGCGATTGAAATTGCACGGGTTCTTGTACTTGTAGTGGTACATTCAGTTTTATTTTCACATACAGTTCTGCGACAATCCCTTGTATCTATTATCAAAATGAAAAATTCAATTATATGGACCAAAGAATTGTTTTTTCGAAATAATCTATTATTTGTCAACCGACAATGATAGGTATAATTCCATCTCCTTTCTTCATTTCTTCTTAAGAAAGTTCTTCATTTTTACTTCCCACGCCTACTGGCGGCGAAGTATTGTGATAGCGAAAAATGTCCATGATGATGTCTGTCTGTCGATCTGTGTGTGTTCACTAATCTTATAACCGCCTATAACTTGAGAAGTGTCGCTTGGATTTCGAAAATTGGAACTGTGATAGCAGAGAAAAAACCTAAAACGATAAAGTTCAAATCACTCAAACTTCAGTTTTTGACGTTCCAGAAGACCGTGATCATTTTTGATAAAAATTTAGAGGAAAAAACAACTTGGGCTTAAGGATGTAAGGGAATGGGAAGGGTTCTTCTGATGCTGGTTCACTAATGGTAAATTCTACGCACCTATTAGACATATTTCACACATCACATAGATTTCTCCGTACATTAGCCCTCCCGAGAAAAATATTCTCGGGAGACAGATTGCGTACCTATCGGCCGCGGCTACTGCTGGCGTCATTCGCCGACCGTGATGACTGTTCTGCTATGGAATCACATGTATATCTACCGCTCAACAGCATAGTGTTTTCTATGCTCTGATTGCGCTACCACGGTGCCAGATCTGCCCGAGTTAGGTATAGGGAAGGGGCAACGTTTCAAGTTGCAGTTCCGGTAGGACAGGGAAGGAATGTCTATGGATCAATTGTATAGTCCTGTTTGACTGACTAGTTGGTGCTGAACATGTTTCTTTATGTTCTGATAAAGGGATTGCGTGGGAAGTGCAGAGTCAACCTACCTGTCGCCACTTTTTACACATACGTTCACTCAACTTTATGTTTCGAATACAGGTAGATTCTGTTAAAATTTAACCAAAAGATAAAGCTATTTTCAAAGCTAGCAGAGTTGTTGGGTGTCGTTTTTGGCAACTACGTCATTAATGCAATACGAATTATATAAACAGATGTGAAACTGATAGACTCCGTGTCAAGTGTACCTAACAAAAAAGTGCACGCTGCGCAAACCACTCTTTAACACAGCTGCTACTTATTCTGCACATATGAAGTGTTGCACGTTGTTTTCATCCACTTTCTGGTAATACTAGCAATGGTGATGGTATTTTATAACGAAGATCAAAAAGGGTTAAATTCAAACCACACACCGATGACAATAGGACCGACACACTAGCAGTGACAAGCACAATTGCGGAACACTCATACGTTACGAGAAAATTATGGAAGCGGTGGGATAAAAGTAAAAAACGTGTAGTTCTTTTCAATGTTTTTGCGGTAATCACAATGCCGTACGATATAAGTAAACGGATGTGCGTTGCTTAACATTTCTAAGGGAAACTGTACACTGGACAATAAAATCCGTAACGAAGCTGATACTCACTCTTGCATACACACATGGATTAGGTGATAGAAGACCGTTATTTTCAATCACTTTTTGGAAATACTTCTAATACAAGCAGACGACATTGTAGTTGTATCTTCAAGCACTACTATGTTTTATATCGAAAATCAACCAAACCATATTCCCATAACAAGCAAGTTATTATGCTGACAGTGACAAGCATACATGTGGAAGACTCATACGTTGACGGAAAAATTCTCATAGCGGTGAAACAGGCAACTATATCCTTTGTTATGTAGATCCTCCAAATTGAGTTTGATAAACAAAGTTCGACTATATAAAATGATTATTAGACCAGCCATTACTTAAGCATGTGCGGCTTGGTGTTTTCTTGCCAAGACACACATGCAAAGTCTTCAAGTACTGCAAAGCAGAACTTTGCGGATAATTTGCAAGGCTCCATGGTATGTCTCAAATGAGACACTACATAGAGACCTCGACATTCCTTACTTGAGGGATTATGTCAAGCTTCAGGCGCAGCGACGTTATAGTCAATCGGTATCGCACAGCAACCCTGTGTTGCGTGACTCAGTGGACTACACAGTGGAGCAAGTTCGTAAACATTCAAGGCCACGGCTCGCACTGTAATCCAAAGTTAGCGCGAATCTTTAGTAAACTCAAAATTACACTCTGTTTTTCTTTGCTCTTCTCCTTTTTTCTTCTCTTTCCCTTTCTCTTTTTCCTTGACTTTGTCTGGTTTCTGGGCAACCAAGACTGACAGATTCGACTAACGTACATCAGACAGTGACTAATGGGTAAAGGTCATACGGACTGCCCAGACAAACAAATGACGAATAGTTTAGCGGTAAAACAAAACTTAAAAGCGACTTTAAGTTTACCCTAGCAAATTTCCGCGCACCCAGGCCGACTGAATAACTGTACCCGAGAGCCAGACTAGATTAAGTCCATTTTCATTAAAAATGAGTTCAATATGTTAAGCTTATGATAATATTATGAATGTTCAGTATCCATCTATCTTTAATAATAAGGAAGTTACTATTTTTTAACTCATGTCAAGTCGCATACAATATAATTATATGATTAAACGAACTTACCTAAGCGAAGTTTAATCCTAATTATATGGAGCCCCGTCCGAAGTAAATAAGCTAGTTGTAGTATCTCGGATTGGTGTCAGCACTCACACATTTTTAAAGAAAACAAACCATCCCCTGCCCGCGGCCCTGCCTCAGTCCCTAGATGTATCGGTGCTGCCTGTTCATTCCTGTTTAAAGTTTTGTTGCAACTGTTTTGGGATGGGTTGGGTGGGAGCTTATTTACTTCGGACGGGGCTCCATATAATTAGGATTAAACTTCGCTTAGGTAAGTTCGTTTAATCATATAATTATATCTCGCCCCGTCCTCGTAAATAAGCTAGTTGTAGTTGTTTAAAGCAAGTTGCAACAAGGAAGGTAGTACGCAGTGTATAGGGGAACTTACGTTTATTAGAGAATAGTAATAACATGAAAGGTTGATTAACACTTTTATGAATCTAGTACCGCATTAGCAAAGTCCAGTTCTTTGGATAATAACGGCTTTTTATAAAAAACAGCAAACGTTTTTGACTTCTCCGTCCAGCCTGCTGCAGTCCGTATCGTATCATAGCTAACTCCTTTCCGGTCGGCAGCAGACGTAGACGCGTGTCGGGTGCTATGAGCACTAAATACATCAGTATCTACACCGCTTCTGTTCAGAACTCCTTTTAACCATCTGCTAATAGACTGTGTGGTAGCGGCTCTATGGGGTTTTTTAAAGGTTAAGAATAGGGCGCTCGTTGAGTTCCTAATTTCTTTAGTTTTTTCTATGTATGATAGCAAGGATTTTGCTGGACAGATATTAATGTCACTGGTGTAAAATGGCAATACTAAGACATGTTGAGTTCTGTTAATATTTGAGGTCTTGAGTTTCTTTTTTATTACAAGTTCCAATTTATCTGGAAAAACATGGATGTCATTAATATTAATACTTGCCAAGGTCTGTACTCGTTGACCTGTAGCCAGTGCTATTAACATGGCAGTTTTGTAGGTTAAGTTTTCCAAGTTAAGCGGACTTTGTGACAACCGTTTGATGTAATCGAGGACGATTGCTGGGTCCCATGTCTTATTGTACTTAGGCAAGGGGGGTCTTAAAGAGCTAAGGCCTTTGAAAAGTCTTTTAATCCTGAAATCATCTGATAGGTTTGGCCCCAGGATTTGAGAGATTGCGGCCCTGTATGAGTTAAGAGAGCTGAAGGAGCAACCCCGATTAAATTGTAATGTAAGAAAAGTCAGTACTGAAGGTATTGTCGCTGCATACATATTAATATTTTTGTCCCTACAAAACTGCCACCATAGCCGCAAGCCAACGTTGTACTGTGCGATAGTGGATTCGGTTATTGATGCTAGGCATATGTTCAATGATTCCTCTGGAACGCAGCCTAGCTTCAACGCTTTGGTGATACAGTTGCGGCTACCAGGGTAATGCTCTTCCAGAGGGGATGGGGAGTCCTGTTAAAGGATAGTAGATTTTTACTAGGTCGAAAAATTATTGGTTCACCTTCTGTGAGTGAGGTGAAAATGGGATACCAAGGTTGAGAGCTCCAAAGAGGGACGACAAGGATGCCCCGAGCCTTGTCTGAAATTATTTTTTGTAAGACTCTTAGTACAAGAGAAAATGGAGGAAAAGCATAGAAGAAATACTGTTCCCAGTTCAAAGTAAAGGCATCGCTTGCGAAACTTTCCGGATCTCTCAGCCATGATACAAACTTTTTGCATTTTGTATTATTCCTAGATGCGAAAAGATCTATACTAGGAGTGCCAAATTTTCTGACAATTTTGGCAAAAGCAGTTTTATCTAAAGCCCACTCGGTTTCCATTCCCAAACTGCGAGACTCTCTATCGGCTTCTTTATTGTCGCTAGAACTTATGTATGAAGCATATATAAATAAGTTCCTTTGTTCACACCACTGCCAGATAAGGCGTGAAAGTCGGTTTAATGTCGGATATTGGACACTCCCCATCTTGTTAATATATGCGATAGCTGTAGTATTGTCAATTCGACATAGAATATTGCAGTTACGTAGTTTATTTGCAAAGCATTTTAGTCCAAAAAACGCCGCTAAAAGTTCCAAATAATTTATGTGTTGATCTTTTTCGACTTCTGACCAAAACCCGTGAGTTGTTCTGCCTGTACAATTTACACCCCACCCCGTTCTTGAAGCGTCAGAAAATATTTCCAGCTGAAAATCATCAAAACGGATAGGGTTTCTTGCGGTTGGCAAATGATTTAGCCACCACTGGAAATCTTTACCTAACTCCGGGGCTATCCTCATTTTTGCAGAATAACTGCCCCCTGAGTGACGTAGCGCCAGAAACTTCTGTCGCTCAAACAATTTTGTGTATAGCCACGCATATTTAACACCCGGGCATAGAGATATAAGCTTTCCCACAAACCTGGCAAAATCTCTGATGGAACAACATTTCATGGTTGAGAACTTTTTAATTAGTTTTATTGTATTGAGAATTTTTTCGTTCGGAAGCGATACACACATATCAATTGAGTCATAAAGAAAACCGATATATTGAATTTTTTGAACGGGAACTAGTTTGCTTTTTCTGTGGTTCAGGAGGAAACCGAGTGAGATCAGTAGTTTGCTGGTATAGGAGACATTATCCATGCACTCCTTGTACGTACTGCCAAAGAGTAAGAGGTCGTCTAAATATATGACAGAAACAAACCCCATTTCTCTAAGGAGAGTCATTATGGGTTTCATTAGTTTAGTAAACACCCAAGGTGCTACATTTAGCCCAAAAGGCATGCAGTTATATTCGTATATGTTGCCTTCAAATTTGAATCTAAGGAACTTTTTGTGTTTTTCGTAAATGGGTATGAGAAAATATGCATCCTTTAGATCGATTGTACTCATGAAGCAATTTTTCGATATCAGTTTTGTTACAGTACGATGGTCTTCCAGTTTAAAATGTTTACATTTCACAAAGAGGTTTAATTTTTTCAAGTTTAAGATAAGTCTGTTAGTCCCATCATTTTTGGGTCTTATGAAAATATTTGAGAGAAACTGGCCTTTACAAGGGTTTACTAAACTGATGGCTCCGGAAGAGACTAGGTCGTTAATGCATGTTTGAAGCAGAGCCTTTCCATTGACTGACCAACATAAAGTTTTGAATTCTTGTTGTTGTGGTAAAGCCATGAACGGTATTTTAAACCCTTGGATCCATCGTAATGTGATATTTTTCTTAAAATGAAATTTCCACTTATGCAGGAAATATTTTAATCTACCAGCGCTGACCTGTGTGCGGCCTAGCGATTCGGTCTCCCGCGTTGCTTGTGCTGCTGCTGTTTCAATCTGTATTGAGGGGGAACTCTTTTGTTGTAGTATCGGCTCCTCTCTCGGTTCGTTCCCTGTTGGTATCGAGATGGAGCCCTGTGGTTTAACGAGCGAGTCGTTGCAGGAAATCGTTGGGATGAAGTAGAGGCCTGATAGCGAGTTTTGGTAATGGTTTTTGGAGGCTTTGCTTTTAGTATTTTCCTGTATTCTTCGGAACTTTTGGTTGCTTTCATTCGCTCGTCCAAGTTTTGCCCAAAAAGAAAGGTATCCAGAGGGATGTCTTTTGTGGCCTCCTGAAATTCCTTGGAGAGGTTTATTGAGATAAGTTCCCTTCTGGTTATGTTTTGGGAATGCCACAAGTCAGCCAACATTCGACCTGCATTATTGAGTAGTTCAATGTATCGTCTGTCCCCCCCCCTTCTTCCGATAACAGGAGGCTACAGACCTGGCCAATGCCAGAAAGGCTTGCCGCAACTAAAGACTGTAGTTTTGTCAGTCGCTCATCCCTCAATAAGTTAGATGGAGAAATCGCTTTTTGTACTACAGGGTTAAGCAGTGGAGCAGATAATGTTGTAAAGTTTTCAGGCGGAGGGAGTTTAGACAGAAGGGATTTTCTATCGTCATCAGATAGGCCCGTCTTCAAAATTTTTTCCCATCGAAGGAGCAAATCCTCATGAATTTTTGGCCCCAGTGGTTCAGGAGAGGTGTCTTTCTTCCCCAGTATGTCTATGACATCCTCACTTAAAGGCGCTGTGGAGAATGAAATTTCCTCGGACCTTACATCATTTTCTGAAACAACGGTGAAACTGTAGTTCAAAATAAGTGCGAGATATTGTGGGTATTAAACACATCCGGCTAGCATTCAAGCCAGGATAGAAGACACGAATAGGCTCAGTGTGATATTGAGGATAGGCTATTGCAGACGTATAGCTAAGTTTCTTACACCCGACTAGCATTCAAGTCAGGATCGAGGAAGAAGACATAGATTCATTACAATATGTCGGAATGGGTATCAAAAAGTCAATAAGTGGTCTCTGACTAGCATTCAAGTCAGGCTCAAAACAAAAATAAAACCATATAGAGTCATTACTATATGTCGGAACTGATATCAAAGTTCAATGAGCATAAATGAGTAGTTTTAACTAATTATGTCCCGCCTCTGACTAGCATTCAAGTCAGGCTCAAAACAAAAATAAAACCATATAGAGTCATTACTATATGTCGGGACTGATATCAAAGTTCAATGAGCATAAATGAGTAGTTTTAACTAATTATGTCCCGCCTCTGACTAGCATTCAAGTCAGGCTCAAAACAAAAATAAAATCATATAGAGTCATTACTATATGTCGGGACTGAGATCAAAGTTCAATGAGCATAAATGAGTAGTTTTAACTAATTATGTCCCGCCTCTGACTAGCATTCAAGTCAGGCTCAAAACAAAAATAAAACCATATAGAGTCATTACTATATGTCGGGACTGATATCAAAGTTCAATGAGCATAAATGAGTAGTTTTAACTAATTATGTCCCGCCTCTGACTAGCATTCAAGTCAGGCTCAAAACAAAAATAAAATCATATAGAGTCATTACTATATGTCGGGACTGATATCAAAGTTCAATGAGCATAAATGAGTAGTTTTAACTAATTATGTCCCGCCTCTGGCTAGCATTCAAGTCAGGATCAAGGAAAAAATGAAACCATATAGATTTATCACTCTATGGGGGAAGTGACATCATAAATTGTATATTTTTAGCTGAGCATTTTCCTACCTGCGAGAGCATCGGCAAAAGGCGATCTACGGGTGGTTGACCTTCGAGGGGTGTTCTCATTGCTAGCAGCGTCCGACGTCGAGCAGGAGCGAGATGATGAGTCACTCGACGACGAAGAAGGGGAATTGGATATGCGTCGTATTCGAGACCGAGACGGGCGGCCTTGCTTTTCCATGGCGCGTAACCGAGCATCCAAATTGTTAATTATTTTTCGAAGTTTTCTAGTTTCGGTATCACCGGAGCGATGTCGATCGCTTCTAGTGCGTTTTGGCATATTTAAGTTCGCAGAGATCCAAACAATGTATATTAGTTGCACTAAAACAAAGAAAAACAAAGAACTCGTTACGTCCCGGCGCGCACTGCTTCGCTGACACACAAATCGAGAATGAACAGGCAGCACCGATACATCTAGGGACTGAGGCAGGGCCGCGGGCAGGGGATGGTTTGTTTTCTTTAAAAATGTGTGAGTGCTGACACCAATCCGAGATACTACAACTAGCTTATTTACGAGGACGGGGCGAGATATAATACAAGAAAAAATATCAATCAATTATCTCAAAACTACTTATTTGGACTTAACCTAGTCTGGCTCTAAGGTACAGATATGTTTGTGTGAGGGAGATGGATGTATGAAAGTAATTCCGGTAGTTTAACAGGGACCTACCAAGAACTGATAAACACCTATGTATATTTGAGTTTACACACTAAAGGTAGATGTGTGTACGAAAATTTAAAATGTTTTATAGGTTAGAAGGAAAATGAAAAGAATTGGCTTCGTAAAAGTTTGAAGGGTACGCTATCCGGTAGGGTTGAATATTTTGCATCTTACTTAAAAGCAGTAACCAAATAAATTCAGTAGAAGTCTAGGACAATAAACTGGTTAGATGTGATACCCTGGAAATTTAAATTAACCGTTAGAGAACAGAGAAACGTCAACATGACATGGCAGTCGGCAACTCGGGCAATAAGCTTGTGTATCTCCACTGCGCACTAATTATGTAGTACGTAATTTGAAGACGGGGATGAATCTTTTTGAAACTATTGAAACTTTTAGAATAAACCAAACCGTACCTGTAGATGAAAGTTTGTGCTACGCGAGCTGTAATTCTCAGCTTAACCTGTAATCCAGGGAAAATATGACAAGGATAGGCGTGTATGACTGTGTCTGTGTGATGCTTGTGCTGTAGCTCACTTTATGCCAGAACAATTTACGTAGTTTATGATCAGTTCCAAAAAAGAGAAACAGTCAGAGGGATAAAGCTGGCAAAGCAAATTTTCACACCTAGGCTATAGTGATCACTTTTTTTCAACTTGTACACGTTCACAAGAGAAGCTCCGCTGTTCATTCTTGGGGATAAAAGGATATAAAAAAAGGTGTACTCAGATGTCAGAGACGTTATTGACCATATGATCGGTTAGAGGAAAAATTATGACATCAGCATAAAATAAAACAACAATAATACTTGTGTAGCGGCAAGTTCGCGTGAAGATCTCTGCAGTTTTTGTCTTGGAGAATATCGTGGCCCTAATTCTTGCTTTAGTATGAGAATTAGAGACCCAACTATAGTCCATCACTTCAACGCCTTCCGATTGATCGAAGTTTGATTCTGGTGGTTCAATAGTAAAATCGGGCCTAAGTGTCTTAGCTTATCGGTCTGCGATGCGCTTTAAAGTATCCTGGCGACGTGTAGAGCAAGGTTGCGAGTACATTTAATTCAAAATCCCAATGAAATTAGAAAAGTGGTACTATCAAGATAAGTGATAGAAGAAAGCGGCCCCCTCTTTAAGTTTTCTATGTCATTTACGTTACATCTACACTTTTTAGGGCTGAGGTTAATTTGGGGTTAGTCCAGTTCTTAAAAGAGACGTTTTTTTTTAAGGGTCTTCTCTATCAGATGAACAAAATTATGCGCTTTTTTTCAAAAAGTGAAACTCGCTGAATGAAATGTAGCCTGGATTCCTCGAAACTTCCTACCATCAAACACATCAATCTCTTCCAGACCCTACACCCTACACAGTATTAATAATCGTACAGTGAGAGAAACACAAGTTCAGGCGTGTAACAAGCAACAGCGTAAAGGAACTTGTATCAGCAATATTTTTCTCGTTATTTCTTGTTCATATTTGACTTTACTTGACAGTAGCTATGTTATATTTGGATCGTCAAGATTTAGTACCACGGTATAATCGACTTTTTCATTGCCTTCCCCTTAGTGAGGCAGCATATTCTAGGTTAACATTAGTTAAAGATCGCTTTTCCCCGGCAGGATTATTACGTAAAATACCTGTATAATGTCAAAAAGAACGTACAAAATCTCAACTTTCTGTCTAGATAGCTGCTAGTGTACAAATAGTTCATTCCGCTGTCGGTCGCTAAGAGCGTCACCCTAGCGTTATCTATGGACGAATGACTGAACGACATGCCAGCATGTTTTGTTGGTTGCAGAATGCCCAGATAGTCTATAAATATGTAGTCGGATGTTTGTGTGGTGATTATGTATATTGGTCTACATGTGTATAAAATCAGTGATATTTGCTATGTGAGAGAATAGTTACTGAATATGCTGCCGTGAACTATATTAGCTGTACTAGACGGGTTTTTGGTGTTGTCCTTTCCGAAAAGAGGTTGTGCTTAAAATTATTTACAATTGTCCACGGTTTTTCCGCGTTTTCGAAAACTTTTAAAAGCATTACGGGAAATCACCACCGCGCTCGCGTTGTGTGTAATCAAGTCACATTACAGAAAAATAGGAATGACGCATCACACACAAAACATTTTCGCAGTGCCTCAGATCTAGGCGCTGATTTGTATTTTCTACTTGACATCGCAAAATAAATTTTATAAAACTCAAATGAGTGGAAATAAAAAATAATGTAAAATTTAATAACATTTTCAGGTTCCATAAATTACTATTCCTGTCTGTAGCCTATTTTTTCACCAGTTAGTTGTTATATACTTCACCAACCAGGGATTTTCTTCTTATCTCCCTCATTTTTGAAACAATTTTCAGGCTAAAGCCCACATCTCATGTATTTGGGGCAAGAAACTAAGTTAATATCAACGCGGATTATTAGCACACAGCTCCTTACTATGCATCTATGCCTTGTCCTTTCTTACATCACATCAGGGGCCTGATCCCAAATAAATTTCGAACATTGAAATTAATTTCGATGTTATCTTCCCGGCATACATATAAACCGCTATCATAATATTCACTTCAACTTCAACTAGAATCAGGCCCCAGAGGCAAAATTGATAGCTGAAGCGTCATGATGTTTAGGCAACACGTACAGCTACAAAACAAGTGCACATAAAGTGGACAACAGCTAGTCATAAGTTGGCATCTTGTAGAAAAACCTACATAATGTCACAAAACACCTATATATAATGTCAAGAAAAAGTGGAGCTGAGGGTTTTCTAAGCTTATTACTCTATCTTATTCTTACATCGAAACTTTCCATGTTATCTCACTACAGTTCTGGTATTGACTTTTCCCTCTAAAAAAATCAATTTCCGCCATTTTCCTGCGGTTGCTCGATCGTTGGGTAGGTTATATGTAGTCTAGACCTCATATCTCATTCATCCAATGATTCTATGGAAATCCAAGCTTTTTGTTCCTAGCAGCACTAAAACCATCACATCCGAAAGTCAAAAGAATCTAGGCGACGTTGGAACACCCCATACATTTCAATTTCACCGTTCCATAATCGATATCGTCATATCCGACTTCCGGTACCGTACGGCAGGCATCATCCCACTTCAAATATCTCGTACTTGCTTCTAATTAATGACTTCGCCAACCCTTCAGCCAGTCGGTGATGAGAAAAAACTCCCAGACGATATTGAGGCAGCATGATTAAAACATGGAGTACGGTGGTGTATCTGGTAACTACTAACGAGAAGACTGTTGATGATAAATCGCTAAAAACAGTGCTCTTGTGTTATGAGCATCTCAAACTGAGATGTGTTTATTTTAACTGAATCATCCATTTTCTAAAAATCGTAAATATTATTCTTATTTGAAAAAGTACGTTTGTTAATACAGGGATCAGGACTCAATTGTCTAGCCAAATAAAAACCACATATGTATATGTTTAGATTTCAGTTTATTGTATGACGATTGGACCACCACTGTGGTCTTTCTCAAGTACAGTCGACGTATGTGACATTATATCTTGTCTTCTGTCTTCCAGGTCAAATTTTATTTCTTTTACTTCCTATGTCACTGGGTACCGTAATCGCGAAGATTCCCAAAATAAGATGTGTCTATATGTATGATATATAAGATATGCAAAATGTTGGATTATTTTCCAATTAATTACAAGAAATTTATTATGTTTTTGGATATTCCATGGCGTATGCACATCACGAAAAAACATGTCACTAATTTCCAACGATCTGTTTGTCTGTCGGTCTGCCCTGTAATCCTTGGAGGCTCTATAACGTGGAATGTACTGCTCGCATTTGAGAATCGGACCAGTGGAGGCAGAGAAAGAGGCCAAAAACTAAAAAAAAAAATACATTGCTAATACGTTGTATAGAATCCTGATCATTTCTAAAAAAAAACACGGTTATACAACAACTAGGCGGCGGTGAGTTATAGGGAACGATCCCAACCCGTCGTTCTATGCAGCCATGTTTTACACATCACAGGTTTCCCCGTATATTTGTCTTTCAAACTTGATAAATGATAGAGAAATGTTTTCGATACGATAATGAAAAATGTTCACACAACAGTGTATCTCGAAGGAGTGTGGTATAGGGGTTGGCTATCAGACTCAGCAGAAGTTGACGATCGACGAGAGGCTCATTGCTGACAATTTTGAAAGGCGTGTAAGAGAGAACAAATGGGTTGGCATTTTGCAAATAGAGAGGCGAATGAAGCTGAGTAAGTCACAGGTATTATATCTCCCTCACCCTTGTCGCTGTGCACTGATTTTTCCACGAGCCGACCATGGCAGCGCCTCCAATCGGGGAGTAAGTGCATCGCTTGGAGTTCCTTGCACCCTCAGCATTTGTTATCTTCATCAATTTTCATGCTAAGGAACGCTTCATTGTGGCTACACAAAGGAAAACAGACGATTTACCGTTACATGTCTCACAGGAATTTGTTATTGATTTATATCTCGAGTAATTTTCTGGCTGCTTTCAGGCAGTGTGCCACTCGATGAGCCTTTGCTGTAAGGTTGAAAGACAGAGGTACAAGGAAATGAGGTTTTTGTTTTTAGCCTTGTAGAAGTTGATATGGAATTTTATTTTTACTGAACTTTATACTAAGGATTTCAATGACTTTCGGCTGTTCTCCATGCAAGTAACTGTAACCTGCCAAAAACACATAACCTGTTTTTTACTATTTTGATCACTTACCAGTAATTTGAATTTCTCTTTATTAATGATAAAGTACCGGTTACTGAAATACTTGCTAGGCCAGCTATTTGGAACATAATTATTGGAAAATACTTTAATTTCATAAAATATTAATATACTTTTAA